AATAAATGGTGTTGGCAAAACTGGAGATCCATTTGCAGAAAAATGAAACAAGATTTGTACCTCACACCATACACAAAAATGAACTCCAGATGGATGAAAGACTTAAATGTGAAACCCAAAACTATAGAGTTCCTCAAGGAGAAACTAGGGGCAAATTTAGGGACCCTAATATATGGCATAAATAGACTATCAAGCATAACTCAAAATGCACAAACAGCAGAAGAGAAACCATATGATTGGAACCTTCTAAAAATTAAATTTTTATGTGCTTCCAAAGACTTCTCCAAAAGAGTCAAAAGAGTACCTACAGATTGGGAGAAAATATTTGGTAATAACATATCTGACAAGAGACTTACCTCTAGAATTTATAGAAAACTGCAACACCTCAATAACAAAAAGACAAACAATCCAGTTAAAAAATGTGCAGAAGACATGAATAGACACTTCACCAAGAATGATAATCATGCGGCCAACAAACATATGAAGAAACGTTCACAATCATTAGCTATTAGAGAAATGCAAATCAAAACAACGAGATACTATCTTGCTCCAGCGCTAGTAGCAAAGTTCAAGGAGACAGAAAATGACAAATGCTGGCGAGGCTGTGAAGAGATTGGGACTCTCATACACTGCTGGTGGGACTGTAAAATGGTACAACCATTGTGGAGAGCAGTATGGCAATTCCTTCAAAAGTTGGAACTAGAAATAGCATTTGAGCCAGCTATTCCATTACTAGGTATATATCCTAAAGAAGTGAGAGCCACGACAAGAACAGACATATGCACACCCATGTTCATCATGGCACTATTTATGGTAGCCAAAAGATGGAAACAACCTAGGTGTCCCCTGAGGAATGGATATCCAAACTATGGTACATACACAAAATGGAATACTACGCAACCCTAAAGAATAATGTAGAATCTGCAAAACACCACATAACGTGGATGAACTTGGAGGACATTATGCTGAGTGAAATAAGTCACTCACAAAAGGACAAATATTGTATTAGTCTGTTACTGTAAAAGTCAAGGAAACATTTATATATGGAAGGACATTTTCTTTGTTGGTTACCAGGGGTGGGTGGGTAGGGTAGTAAACACTGTTAGACAGATAGAGATAAGTTTTGATTTGGGTGAAGAGAAGGGCAATGTGCCAAATGTGAGTGATCAATATAGTGGCATTGAGGAAAAGAAAGGCATAGAGAGGTATGTGGGAAGTACAGACAACAAAGATGAGCCCTTTTGCACATATAGTACAGCACTGTCAGTGAAGGCAGACATGGGTATATGGGTGGATATATGGGTGGACAGGCTGAAGTATTAGGTTTGTCGATGAAGTGGGGAGTGTACCCAAGAACATGTATAGGGTTGGCAGACAGTGGTCCTATAAGTTTATGTGTATGATCTGAATTCCCAGGTATATAATGGAACTGACAAGGGGCAAGGTTGTAGTTACTGCTTGGTCACAGCCAGCTACCCAGAGGGACCGAGTAGTTGAACCTGTCGGCTCGGGACCATTGTCGCAGAGGACATCAAGCTCAACTGGCATAACATACTACACAAAACATTGTTCTACCTCCTACTGTGGCGAGTAGCGACTGGGATCTTAAAAGCTTGCAAACTGCCATGTAGATGCAACAGTGTGTCTCTCCTCGTCCAGAGCAAAGAAGAATTAAGAAAACCAAAAATTCATGGAAACAGTTAGTGCTAGCAACTGGTACACCATCCGATCTACAGCCTATACGACTGTGAGACCAGAAGAACTAGATGGTGCCTGGCTACTACTGTCAACCACTTGGAAGAGGATCTATGTAGGAGATCTGGATAGAGAGGGTGAACACTGTGGGACAAAACTCAAAATCATTTGGAAAAGAAAAAGGGGAAGGGACCAGGTATGCTTTTCCAATAGAGCCTGATGGAACCACTGAGACTATGGCCCCTAGCTGCCCTTCAGGTCTGTAAATGAATCCGTGCTTGTGGCTTCTAGCCAAACGATAGACAGGCATGTGAGTTGAACATTTACCGCAGGTAGATAGATACACTCCTTGGAGAGAAAAAGCATGGGAGAAAGAAGGGCTGCTTATGCACAGGGAGACAGCTCAGGGGGCAGGCGTGAATGGAGGGATGGACACAGGGAAGAGGTAACTATCAGGAGGAAGTAGGAGGGGGATGTTGCATTGTGGTAAATTGTGGTCAATGTCATGAGACAAAGTGTAGGTGAACTGCTGTATGGAAAGTGTATTTGCTCTGTAAATTTTCACCCAAATCACAATTAAAAAAAAAAAAAGAATTTTGTTCATTATATTACATAATAATGTCTTTGTGAAAGAAATTTCTTTTAGATATAATTACTAAGAAAGTTGGGAGTTCTGGTAGCATAGTTCCTAAGGCATTTGACTGCTAACCGGAAGGCTGGTGGTTCAAACCTACCAGCCACTCAGAAGGAAGATTGGCCAATCTACTTCTGTAGTGATACCACCTCGGAAACCCAAGAAGGGGTCATGAGGTTAGGTTTTTTTGTTTTTTTTTAAAGAAAGTTATGCCTCTTCTGACCTGTTTGTTTTCAGCTATTGTGAAGGGTTAGAGCCAAATTCATGATTGATCGAGTATGTGTTTTCATCATTCTTATTTCTGGTATAAATTCATGTCACTTCTGATTTTTTTCACTCTTAGTTTATATTATTACTGTATTTTGTGTGTCCTTGTGTATGGCCTTAAATTCTTCATAACATTTAAGTTAAGAATTGCTAAATGGTTGATATGCTCCATTTCTATGGGTTAAAATCACTTGTCCTTTCTTATTTGAGTTAGTTGAAATAAAATAACTGTTCTATACTTCATTTAGGAGCTCTGGTAGCATAGTGCCTAAGGCATTTGACTGCTAACCAGAAGGCTGGTGGTTCAAACCCACCAGCCACTTCTCAGAAGGAAGGTTGGACGATCTACTTCTGTAGTGATACCACCTTGGAAACCTAAGGAGGGGTCTCTGTGAGTCGGGTTTCACTCAGTGGCAGTGAGTTTGGTTTGAGTTTTGTATACTTCATTTAAATGTTAGTTATCTAATACTAATTTTCCATGTTTAGTTGATCCTTAGTGACAGCAAATTACATTTTTCCATTTAAAACTCAGTTTTATGTATTCCTAAAAGTTGTATTCAGAATGGTTAGTGATCTGTTTCACTTTTCCTTTTGAAGAAAAGAACTATTAATAATACAGTCATGGAATTTTAAAGCTAGATAATAACAACACAGCGCACTGCCATCAAGTCGGATCCAACTCATAGGGATCCCTCGGGTTTCCAAAGTGGTATCACTGTAGAAGTAGATTACCCAGCTTTCCTTCTGAGGAGTGGCTGGTGGGTTTGAACCACCAACCTTCTGGTTAGCAGTCAAGTGCCTCAGGCACTTATGCCACCAAAGCTCCTTTAAAGCTAGATAGGGACATTATAATTCCTACACTCACTTTTCTTTTCATCTTGCATTCAATTGATGTGTGTTTTTTTCTTCTTCAGCTAGTCTTTGCTGTTGAAAAGTCTATAAATAAGAAGAGACTATGGAGTTTGACAGAGGGGGAAGTCTCAGAGCGAGTGACACTTCATATTTGTTCCTCTACAAAAAAGTATCTTTTTTGGGGTGTTGATTGTTTAAATATATGGTACCTATCAAAACGATGCTCCTGCATGACCTCTTTTTCCAAAATTTAATTGAATCACCATGATTTTTTAAAGTCATTGTTTATGTTTTTCTTTAAATAACACATGATTAAAGCTGATAATGATAATAGTAATGATTAATAATGGCTTTTAATTATATCTTAGGGTAAGTAAAGAGTTTGAGAGAAAGATTAGCAAGGGCTCAGGATTCTGATTTCTTTACCAGCTATCTAGACCCATACACTCAAGCACACAACAGGTTCGCTCTGACTCATGGCAACCCTGTTGTGTTTCCAAGGCTATCAATCTTTGCAGAATCAGACTGCCTCATCTTGCTTCCATGGAGTGGCTAGTAGGTTCGAACCACTGACCTTTTGGTTAGTAGCCAAATGCCTTAACCATTACACCACTAGAGTTAGTTAAAATAACGTAACTGTTCTATACTTCATTTAAATGTTAGCTATCTAAAATTAATTTTTCATGTCCAGTTATTCATTAATGGCAGCACATTATATTTTACAGAGAGAGAGAAATGCCCAACTGACAGCTTAAGCAATGTGATACTTTGATTTTGTGAAAGCTGTAATTTCCAATTCCTATAGGTAAACTCTACAATTCAAAGTATAAGCTGACTTTGAATTTCTTGAAAACATCCAATTTTTATGACTTTGGTTAAAGGTCAAGTAACACTATAAACTCTTTAGGGGGCCTTCTTAGCTACTCTTCTTTGTAACTTGCTTGGGAAGGGGTACCTCCCAAGCAAAAAGCAACCTCACCAAGGGAGTATAGCAGTTCAAGGGCCAAATAAATTAGAACTTCAAAGACAAAATTTAAAAAATAATAATTTCTTCAGAAGCACAAGTTTTAACTCTTGTGGTATTAACAGGAAAGTTCCTGTACAAGACATGTAACCCAATAAATACTCTTAAATACCTCCATGCAAGCTAATATTCCTCTTCTTTGTTAAGGAGAGTGTATATTTGAAGAAAATTTTGCAAGTGTGTCCATTATATTCATTGTCATTAGCAGGCTTTATACACACTGCCATTAAGTCAGTTCCAACTCAAAGCAACCCCCGTTGGGTTACCAAGGCTGTAAATCTTTACAGAAGTAGATTGCCTCATCTTCTGTAAAGTGGAAGGTGGAGCAACTTCTGAGTTTAAACTACTGACCTGGTTACCACCCAAATGCCTTACCACCCAAATGCCTTACCTACTGGGCCACAGTAGCTTCTTGCAAGTTTTATAAACCAAACTGAACTCACTGCCATTGAGTCAGTTCTGACTCATAGAGACCCCATTGGGTTTCTAAGGCTATAAATCTTTATGGAAGCAGACTGCCTCATCTTTTTTGTGTGGAGTGGCTAATGGGTTTGAACCACTGACCTTTTGGTAAGCAGCCAAATGCCTTAACCACTATACCACCAGAGCTCCTTTGCAGGCTTAGGCAGAAGAAAATAATTTGCAAGCACCATAGGTATTAGAGGTAGAGCATATGTGTATATATATACATATATTATGTGTATAAAAGCACACACATATGAATACATATACTTATAGCTATATACATATGAAGCATGTATGCATATATATTTATCTTTAAGCATATAAAGCATGATTTTGTAAAAACTTACATGCATGTACTTCGTTTTATTTTTATTTTTTTTTCTTGATTATCAAGAATTATATCTTTGGTCATTTCTGTCCTTAATTAGTAAAGAATATTTTGTCGAACTTATGATATCCGTGATCCAAAGGTAAGAAAAATCATTCTTTAAAGATATTTCTCTGTCGCAAATTTTTTAATAAAATTTATTATTATAATTAGTTTTAATAATTGTCAATTAATTCCATTACTTCCTATTAATGTTCTCAACTACAAGTTCTTGGTTTTGAAATTGGGTGATTTTATTAGAGGCAGTAATGAATTTCATCAAGCTCCTTTCATCTTGTTTATAAGTTTAGTTTTTATTTGGGAGATTGGTAGTAAAAATGTCTGAAGTCTTTTTAGTAGCTACAGTACCTGGTAAGCAAGCTGCCTGTATTCAGTGGAACCTCACTTTGATTTTGAAAAAGTAATTTAACAGCTCTCTGTTTTCATAAACAAGTAAGTCTCAGAAATACATAGTTTAATTTATTGAGAAGAAACAGAGCAGTTTTGAATTTAGTTAACATAGGTACACAACCAAAACATGTACTGAATTAGCTCATTTAAATAAGGGACCATGATTGTGGTGTAGTCTGTTAGCAAGGATGGAACAGAAAGAAGAATGTCTGGCCCTGTGAGTTCACTCAGTGGCTATTTGTTCCACCGCAAAATCCTCAGGATTGACACTACTGAAGCTGCAGATGAGAGCTAGAAAACCAGAGACTTTTTCATATTTCTAAACATGGACATTTCTGATCCTTTTTCTGCCTACCCCTCTGTGGAGAGGGTGAAATGAGGGCTTGCCTAGGTTACGTGGATTGTATTGAAGAGTACTGAACTTACTATATGCCTTATTTTTATTTGGTTCTACTGTAGCCCTTTAATCCAAGAATTTGGCAATATATATTGGAGATTAGATTGTATGAATTATTATTTTATATGTGTTATAATACTAATCTGTGTATTTTACCTAAACTTTATGCTTTTCTCCTATTCTCAATGCTGAAGAGTTCAGCAAGACCAGCAGAATGGAAGTATCAAAATGGACTATCAACTTCATGGCTTTCTTTGGAGTGTACAATTCACATTAATATTCACATTCCACTGTCTACTACTTCTGTCAACTATACTCTGGAGAAAAATACAAAGGTATCAGTAAAATGTGATTTGTTTAGTAATTGATGAGTACCAGCCTGCTTTAATTTGGTTGTCTCTGCCATGTATTTTATAATCCTCAAAAATGACATTCTGTTTATACTGATACTGTTATACATAACTGTTACTACTGCAGCCAGATTATAATTTATTTATGACAGTGTCATAATGCTAATGTATTTAGCATAATACATGTTCAGTAAATAGTTGACAATTAAAATTTAGTTATATAAATTTTAAAATATAATAATATAAAATATAATTATATAAGAAGATATACTGCTTGGTCTTTTTGCTTTTTTTTGCAACTTACTTTTGTCTTTCCTTTTCTAGTCCCTTTTGCATTTCTATACCATTCATTCCATTGTTCATCTCATTTGTTAATTTTCTCTTCTTTCAGCTGAAAGAGACAAGTGGTGTTTGCTAATTTTTTCCTTGATAATACTGCTTTATAATAGCTTTATATTGTTTGTTTGGGGCTCTTCTCTTCCCTAACTTTTTTTTTCTCAAGATAATGAGTATTACTGAATTTATGGGAGCTCTGGTGGCATAGTGCTTGAGGCATTTGACTGCTAACCAGAAGGCTGGCGGTTCAAACCCACCAGCCACTCCTCGGAAAGAAGATGGGGCAATCTACTTCCATAGTGACAGTGCCTCAGAAACTCAAGGAGGGGTCACTATGAGTCAGAAACGACTTGATGGCAGTGTTTGTATAGTCATGTAGTGTCACTTAAGTCTGGTATAAATGTTAGTTTTGTATAAAGGGGGAGAAAACTATTATTAAGTATGGGTAAGGTGCTAAATGTTGAGGACATACTCTTTTTATTCAAAAGACTGAATTTAAATACAGCATTACTAGTACTTTGGTATATTTAATTCAGTATATTCAGTGGATTAAAATAGAATTTAGGGAATTTAATTTACATGACATTATAACTGAGGGATATCTGTGCTGTGTTTCTTTTAAGAATGGACTTACATGCTGGGCCAAGCAAATTGAAAATGGTGTGTTTTTGATTAATGGGCAAGTTAAAGAGGAAGATTGTGACCTGCTAGAAGGACAGGTAAGTTAAGAGAAAATTATCTTGCTTATGAAATGGTAGTGTAGTGCCTAAGGCACTTGACTGCTAACCAGAAGCCTAGCAGTGCAAACCCACCAGCCACTCCTTGAAAGGAAGGTTGGCAATCTATTTCTGTAGTGATACCACCTCGGAAACCCAAGGAGGGGTCTCTATGAGTCGGGTGCAACTCGACGGGACATAACAACAACAACAGCAAAGGTAAAATAGAAGATAACTTATCATTAGTTCTTTAGTCCTTGCCTTTATGAAAATAGGAATTTTTATTTACAGGTAGTCCCTGACTTAGATGTATTAGAATTCCAACAAAACCCACTTACTACCTTCCATGTTTTTGTTGTTGTTTTTTGTTCAACTTATTAGTAACATGCATTACATACAGTGTTGTACTATGTAATTTACTGATGTCATCATATCTATAAGTTTATATGTAATGTTTCCAATTCCGAAAGACAAATAAAGATGGGACCTATAAGGACACTGATAATGAAAGATAATAATGAAAACTAAAAAAATGGAATAAAATAAGATATTCAACCTACGTTAGAACTGACGTACAATAGAGTTGTTGGAAGAGAACCTTGTTGTAAGCTGGGATTACCTGTACTTCTCATTTCTAAGGTCTTTTAAGGTGTCAGATGAGTATTTTTTTTGTCAAAAAATGACAGAAGGGATTATTTATGATGTAATTGGAATTCTAGAACCTAAAGAAGGGAGCGTCATGTAACTTAAGACTGAAGGCCATATCTTATTCTGCCAAGATAGTGGTTTTAAGGTTTTAAGTAGAGCCATCTTGGGAGCTCTGGTAATGTGCCTACGGCACTTGACTGCTAACCAGAAGGCTGACAGTTCAAACCCACCAGCCACTCCTCAGAAGGAAGATGGAACAATCTACTTCCGTAGTGATACTGCGTCAGAAACCCAAGGAGGGGTTGCTATGGGTCAGTTCCAACTCGATGGCACATAACAACAACAACAGAGCCATCTTAAAGGACCTTCGAAAATAGCTTTGACCTAAAGGAAAGGGAACTTTAGTCATCTCTCCCTTTATAGAAGGAATCACTAAATGATATGTATAGGACCAGATAATGAATAGTTTAGACTTTGCAGACTCGATGGTCTCTTGTAACTGTTCATCTCTGTTGTTGTAATATGAAAGCAACCATAGACAATATGTAAATGTATGTTTCTGGCTGCATTCTTGTAAAACCTTACTTATAGAAACAGGTGGCAGTCTGGATTTGCCCATAGGCTATAGATTGCCAATCTTTGATTTAGAGAAATACAAGTAGGAACTTTTTATATTGTTAATGTTTTTTAGGAGTATACATTGGTGTAGGATACACAAAGTTACATACTTACTGTTTTGAATTAAACTGGGTCCCCCCAAAAAGTGTGTTGGAATCCTAACCCCTCTACCTATGGATGTAATCCTTTTTGGGAATACGGTTTCTTTTCTGTTAATTAGGTCATATCATTGTAAGACACTCCCTGAATTTAATCACTTGTGTTTTAAAAAGAGCAGATTAGACCCCAAAACAAGCACAAATAGAGGAGAAGATTGATGCCACCTGAGCATTGCCAAGAACCGTAGGAACACCAGGGCTGCAGAAGCTGAAAGAGACAAAGATCTCCTCCTACTGCTGTGAGCCTTCTCCTAGGCCTTGAATTCTCACTTCTAGTCCCCTGAACTGTGAGAATATGAATTAATTTTTCAAAGCCATCCACTTGTGGTATTTCTGTTACAGCAGCATGAGGAAACTAAAACACCTATAGGAAAAAACTAAATATAAAAAATATGTAATAATATTTGTTTTTTTTCCTCTGATTCACTTGGTATCTAAAATGTATCCTAAATTATCTTTCATGTTTCAGATGCATTCTCAGGAATCTGGCTTTTTAACTTTTGTTATTTTTTTCAGAAAAAATCTTCTAGAGGAAGTGTTCAAGTGACTCATCAGCCTTTGGATGTCAGAGTTCTAACGCAATTGGTAAATATTTAAATATCACTCACTTATTGAAAATACTTAGAATACCCATAATGAAAGGTTTCTCTTTCTGTTTATAAATAGAGTCAAAAAATTTTAGAGATGAAAAAGTGTATAAATTTCTAATTCTACAAAAGTTACTACCAAGAAACATTATAATTCTTTCTATAAGTATACATGCTTTTGATTTTAGTCCTGTTTAAGATTATCCTAAGGCATAGATGAGGCACAATAACATTGTTTTTGCCTTCCCCTTCATCCATGTCTACCCTCTGGTTAGTGATTTACCTTACCTTCATCTCCTAACCCTGGTAACTGTCAAAGAGTTATTCTTTTTTGTGTGAAACCATTTTCTTGACTTTTTACAATAGTGATCTCACACAATATTTTTCCTTTTGTGATTGACCAATTTCACTGGCAGATTCATCATTGCTCTTAAATGTTGTGTAGTATTCCGTTGTGTGTATGTACCAAAATTTGTTCCTCCATTTCTCCGTTGATGGGCATTTAGGTTATTTCCATTTTGTTATTGTGAATAGCACTCTGGTGAACATGGGTGTACATACATCTGTTCTTGTCATGGCTGTTATTTCTCTAGAATATATATCTAGTAGTGGGATTGCTGGATCACATGGCGTTTCTGCTTCCAGCTTTTAAAGGAAATGCCATACCATTTTCCACAGTGATTGTACCAATTTGCACTCCCAACAGCAGTGTATGAGTGTTCCAAAATTGCCATATCCTCGCCAGCATTTGTTTTCTGTCTTGTTGAACTTCACTATTATTGTTGGGGTGAGATGATATCTCATTGCTGTTTTGATTTGCATCTCTCTAATGATTAATGACTAATGATAACTAATAACAACAACAACTAATGATCACAAGCATTTCTTCATGTGTTTGTTAGCTGCCTGAATGTCTTCTTTAGTGAAGTGTCTGTTCATGTCCTCTGCCCATTTTTAATTTCTTTGTTTTTAATTGTTTAAGTTTTCTATAGATTTTGGAGATTAACTCTTTTGCCATTATGTTGTTGCCCAAAATTTTTCCCCAGTGTGTGAGTTCTCTTTTTACTCTTTTGATGAAATCTTTTGATGCACATGTTGTTGTTAGGTGCTGTTGAGTTGGCGCTGACTCATAGTGACCCTGTGTGCAATGGAACGAAACACTGTCCCTGTGCTAGACTCACAATCCTGAATATACTTGAGTCCCTTGTTGTGGCCGCTATGCCAAACCATCTTGTTTGGGATCTTTCCCTTTTTTAGCTGACCCTCTGCTTGACCACGCATAATATCCTTCTCCAGGGAATGGTCCTAACAACATGACCAAAGTAGGTGAGACTAAGTCTGGCCATCCTCACTTCCAAGGAGCATTCTGGCTGCAGTTCTTCCAGGACAGATTTGTTTGTTCCTCTGGTAGTCCATTGTATTTTCAGTATCCTATGTCAACACCACAGTTCAAAGGCATCAACTTTTCTTCGGTCTTCCTTATTCATTGTCAAGCTTTCACATGCATTTGAGGTGATTAAAAATACTATCCCTTGGGTTCAGTGCACCTTAGTCTTCAAAGTGATGTCTTTGCTTCTTAACACTTTAAGGAGGTCTTTTGTAGCAGATTTTCTCAGTGCAGTGCAATGTCTGATTTCTTGACTACTGCTTCCATGAATGTTGATTTTGGATCCAAGTAAAGTGAAATCCCTGACAACTTCAACCTTTTTTCCATTTATTGTGATATTACTTGTTCCAGTTGTGAGGATTTTTGTTTTCTTTATGTTGAGATACAATCCATACTGAAGACTGTAATCTTTGATCATCATCAGTAAGTGCTTAAGGTCATCTTCACTCTAAGCAATCATGGTTGTGTCATCTGCATATTGTGCAGGTTGTTAATGAGTCTTCCTCTGATCTTGATGCCACGTTCTTCTTCATAAATCTAGCTTCTCAGATTAATGCTCAGCGTACAGATTGAATAAGTATGATGAAAGCATGCAACTCTGATACACACCCTTCTTGATTTAAAACCATGCAGTAGCTCCTTGTTCTGTTTGAACAACAGCCTCTTGGTCTATGTACAGGTTGTTTATCAGCACAATTAAGTTTTCTGGATTACCCATTCTTCTCAATGTTATCCATAATTTGTTATGATCTACATAGTCAAATGCCTTTGCATGGTCAATAAAGCACAGGGGGTAAACATCTTTCTGATATTCTTTGCTTTGAGCCAAGATCCATCTGACATCAGCAGTGATATCCCTCATTCCATGTCCTCTTTTGAATCCAGCTTGAGTTTCAGGAAGTTCCCTGGCAATTTTCTGTTGCAACCATCTTTGAATTATCTTCAGCAAAATTTTACTTGTGTATCATTTAACGATACTGTTCGATACTTTCTGCATTCTGTTGGATCACTTTTCTTTGGAACAGGAATAAATATGGATCTCTAAATTTGGATGTGATACAATCAAGGCCATATTTTGGCTCTCGTGGACTTGTTTTAATTGTCTTTAGCTTCAGCTTGAACTGGGATATGAGCAATTGATGGTCTTTTCACAGTCAGCTCCTGGTCTTGTTTTGACTGAATATATTGAGCTTCTCCATTGCCTCTTTCCATGCATGTAATTGCTCTGATACCTGTGTATTACATGCAGTGAGGTCCACATGTATAGCCACCATTTATGTTTTTGAAAGAAGATATTTAGAATGAATAAGTTGTTGGCCTTGCAAAATTCTATCATGCAATCTCCAGCATCATTTCTATCACTAAGTCTATTTTTTCCAACTACTGATAATTCTTCTTTGTTTCCACTTTTTGCATTTCAATAACCAGTGATGATCAGTACATCTTGAGTTGCATGTTTGGTCAATTTTAGACTACAGAAGTTGGTAAAAATCTTCAATTTCTTTATATTTGGCTTTAATGGTTGCTGTATAAATTTAAATAATAGTTGTATTAACTGGCCTTCCTCTAGGTATATGGGTGTTATCCTATCACTGAGAGCATTGTACTTCAGGATAGATCTTGAAACATTCCTTTTGACGATGAGTGCAACACCATTCCTCTTCAATTTTTCATTCCTAGCATAGTAGACCATATGATTACCTGATTCAAAATGGCCGATAGCCTAAGATATCAATCTTTGTGCATTCCATTTCAGTTTTGACAGCTTGCCAATTTTCCTAGATTTATGTTTTGTATGTTCCGTGTTCGATTATTAATGGATGTTTGCAGGTATTTCTCCCCATTCTGAGTCATGCACCTTCAGAAAATGAAGGTCCTGAAAGCTTTACTCCATCTACGTCATTAAGATCGACTGTACTTTGAAGAAGCGGCTCTTCCCTAGTTGCATTTTGAATGCCTTCCAACTTGAGGGCCTCATCTTCTGGCACTACGTTAGACAAGTTTTAGGGCTATTCGTAAAGCTTTTCAGTAATATATCAGACAGTGTGTCACTGCTATGCACAAGGTTTTCACAGGCCAATATTTTCATAATGGATAGCCCCATCTTTCTTCCCAGTCTGTCTTAGTCTGGAGCTCCACTGAAACCTGTCCACCATGCTGGTCTTTGAAATACCGATGTTGTAGCCTCCAACCTCACAGCAACATGCACGCCACAATAGTATGACGTACTGACAGATGAGTGGTGGGGTCTTCCTTGTAGGCATATGGGTATTTTCCTATCACTGACAGCATTGTACTTCAGGATAGAGCTTGAAATGGTCTTTTTGGGAATGAATGTGATGCCATTCCTCTTTAATTTGTCATTCCTGGCAGGGTAGACCATATGATTGTGTGATTCAGAATGGCCTTACTAGTCCATTTCAGCTTACTAATACCTAAGATACCGATCTTTATGCATTCCATTTCATTTTTGACAACTTCCAATTTTCTTAGACTCATACTTCATATGTTCCATATTCTGATTATCAATAGATGTTTGCAGCTGTTTCTTCCCATTTTGAGTTGTATCCCATCAGCTAACGAAGTTCACAAAAGCTTTATTCCATCCACATCATTAAGGTCACCTCCAGTTTGAGGAGGCAGCTCTTCCCCAGTTGTATTTTGAGCGCCTTCGGATCTGCAGGGTGCATCTTCTGGCACTATATCAGACAGTGTTTCACAGCTAGTCATAAAGTTTTCCAATAATATATCAGACAGTGTTCCACTGCTATTCACAAGGTTTTCACTGGCCAGTTTTTCAGAAATGGATGGCCCTTTCCTTTTTCCAAGAGTGTCTTAGTCTGGAAGCTCTACTGAAACCTGTCCACCATGGGTGATCCTGCTGGTGTTTGAAATACCAGTGGCATAGCCTCCAGCCTCATAACAACACTCAAGCCACCAGTATGACAAACTGACAAAAAAGTGGTGATATACATGTTGTTGTTGTTACTTGCCATCGAGTCGGCCCCGACTCATAGCGACCCCCCTTGGGTTTCCGAGGCAGTATCACTACGGAAGTAGGATTGCCTAACCTTCCTTCTGAGGAGTGGCTGGTGGGTTTGAACCGCCAGCCTTCTGGTTAGCAGTCAAGTGCCTTAGGCACTATGCTACCAGAGCTCCTAGTATGCATAGTGTCTTATTTTTAGGAGATCCCAGTCATCTATTTTGTCTTTTGGTTTTGAACATTTTTAGTTGTGTTCAATAGTGTATGTATGCCATGAATTAAAGCCCCTAAATTTTCTCTCTGTTTTCTTTGATTGTTTTTATGATTTTTGGTTTTATATTCAGGTCTTTGATCCACCTTGAGTTTGTTTTTCTATATGGTGTAAGAAATGGAATCAACTTGGTGACAGCATGTGTTTTTTGTTTGTTTTTACTTTTAAAAAGGTTATTCAAAGCTCTTCATAACTTCAGCATACCTTTTTCATTCTTAATTTCTCTCGATCTATTCTTGCTATGCCCCTAAATTTCTATATATTTCCTGAACCATGTGTTTTGCCAATACTGTATTTTTTCTGTTACCTATATTGTCAAAGCCCAGTCTGTGCTTAAGATACAGTTCAAATACCACCCCTTCTTGGAAATTTCATCTCCATACCCAGAAGGGATCTTTTGTTTTCCAAAATCTCATATCAGTATTACAGATGTTCCTCCTTTTATGAACAAGTTAGTACCTCAAAGACTATCTATAAGCCAGTTTATTCCTAAACACAGAGTAATAAAGAGAAGTTTACAATTGTTGAACCCAAATATTTTTCTGCCATAAGGATACTCAGTCCTTATGTCCTTATGTCCTTCAAAACTGTTTGATAAATGTATGAGTGTACATGTGTGTGTATATAGTCTTTTATTTATAATAATCTAACTATGTAATATATATATATATATATATATATATATAAAATAGTACACTATTTTCCAAAATAGAATAGTTCCATCTACAATAAAGATCTGTGGAATGGCTGTTACTCTCCACTCCCACCTTACTGATGTATGGATGATCTCCACAATTGCCATAGGATGCTTATTCCAGATGTTGTTGTTGCTATAGTTCTGATGATAAATATTTTTATAATGGACCGCCATAGGACCTATAGAACTATTTGGTCTAGGACAGTTTTTTTTTTTTTAACCAACAAGACCTTGACCATATGATCAGTTTTTCTTAAAACACTAGCATTTGCATAAATTACCATTGGGCATTGACTTTTGATGCTGTTTCAATAGCTACATTTTTCAAGTCTTTCTATTTGTTTAACATATTTCCTTATTCTTCCCGATGATTTGAATTTTGTCTTTTAGAATTGCCCCTATTTTGAATTTTTAATAATAATTTATTGTGTTTTTAATTAAAGGTTACACAGCAAATTTAGGTTCCTATTTGATGATTTCTATGTAGTTGTTCAGTGACGTTAGTTACATTTTTCACAATGTGCCAACATTCTGTTTAATTGTGTTCTGTTGTTCCTTTGACCCTTTTGTGGGATAATGTATTCCAGATATATTTATTTTTTACTTTCTTACCACATCCAGTTTTTTGTTTTTAATCATGATTTTTATTTCTGTTGAAATTATAGGCCTCTAGTAGTACTTTCATTGTTTCATTGCTTTCCTTGTTTTCACGTTACTAAAATTACAAGGTTAAAAATATTTGTAAAATACTTCAAAACCAAGCAGGAACTGACACTCTTTAGACTAAAAAGAATGGGACATATGATGGAAATGACTGATTATAACTGCTAATACCATTATCTAGTGATACGCATAATTGACCTGGTTTGCTTTTTGCTCTGTAGCATAGTATTATTTTTAACCTATGAAAGTAGAGTTGAATGTATATACATGAATGCCAATGTATTACTTGTACTTTTACAATATTCATCACATCCTGCTTTGTATTCCAGTTATTTTGTACATATATTGCATACTTCGTATTTCATATTTTATTATGTCTTCTGTGTCTATCTTTTTATCTCCTCAGTGCTTTTGTGTGTAATCTGCAAATAATCTGTTTTTAGTAAATGAATTGAATGAATGTTGGTATCTTATGTGGTTATATTAGTAAGAAAAAACTTAGATGTGGTTGTTTTAATTTCAGGCTATGTTCAAATAATATATATGTCCATATAAAATTGGCATATAATATATATGCTCAATAAATAGTATGTAACTAACTTAAAAAGATAAAAATGAAGGCTTTCAAAAAATTTATGGAGAATATTTTTGAACACTCAGTCAAAAACTTCTCTCCTTAAAACAGCTTATATAGTGTTTGTTTCATATAACTAATAATTATTGGCCATTGGAAATAAAACATATTGTCTTTCAGCTCCTGAGTTCAGAACACAGGTCCACAGCCACAGTCCAGATCTGCAGCGGTTCTGTGAACCTTAAGGGTGCTGTGAAATGCAGAGCTTATATCCACAGCAGTAAACCCAAGGTTAAAGATGCTGTGCAGGTACAAAAAAGGAATAACTGCTATATGGAAAACAAGCATCTTAATATAATGATCCAAAATCCTAAAATTTTGTCTTTTTCCAATGTTAGATCTTATAATTATTAATTTGACTTTAATTGATAAAGGTCCAACATGTTAGGCAGTCTAAATATACCATTTAATTGGTTCTAAGTATTTCATGGGTAAAATATCTCTTTTATGCCTTTCTTAATGTGATTTATTTTGCATATTGAGCACTTTACAGTGGATTTACTAACACATTTGAAAACCTCTTCTGAGAAAAATGTTTTAACAATAGGAAGAGTATTCATTGGAAGAACTATTAGATAGTGGTCTATATAATTCATAAATTTTTTAAATGATGAATGGTACTGTTATCTCACATATTTCTTAATTTAGAGCACTGAAATCTAAATTCATTCAGATTCAAAATCTCATTTATTTATCTGGTTTTAATTTATAGATGAGGACTAAGCAAATTTGACACTAAACTATTAATGTATTAATAAGCATTCTAAATAAGAGGAAAATAAAATGTTGAACAGTGTACCATTTATTTTAGATGTACTACTTTAGAAGAAGTGCTGGTGGCATAGTACCTAAGGTATTTAACTGCTAACTGGGAGGTTGGTGGTTCAAACCCACCACCTGCTCTGTGGAAGGAAGGTGAGGCAATCTGCTTCTGTAAAGATTTACCTCTGTGGAAACCCTATGGGAGTTGCTATAAACTGGAATCAACTCAATAGCAGTGGGTTTGGTTTTGGTTTTGTTTGGTTTAGGGGACATGAGTATGATTTTAGTAACAGAATAACCTAAATTTAAAGTAACTTATTTTATTTCTTACTGTGTGTTTCCCTTGGTTTCTTTCAAAGGCTATAAAGAGAGATATATTGAACACAGTTGCTGATCGTTGTGAAATACTGTTTGAGGACCTGCTTTTGAATGAAATTCCAGAAAAAAAAGTTATGAGTATAAAATAAGTACTTTCATTTATTTTGTATGTGTTTAATTGATACAGTAACTGGATGTGAAGATATAATAGTTAAGTCATCTTTTAATCTACCTTACCTATTTTTTATAGCAGTATGTCATCTTTTACCTTTATTATTAAATGAAAAATGTTCACTTGCTACTGAAAAATATTTTTTGAAGCTTTATAATAGCAACATATGTCAGCATTGAACAATTTCAGGGAGAATTTTATTTTTTAAATTTTGAGTGACTGTTCCCCTGCCAGAATGAGTAAACTATTTTGGTATTTTGAAGCTAGTATTTTTTATTAATATCTATGAACTTTTTTAGAATTCCTGGGTGGTGCAAATTGTTAATATGCTCAACTGCTAACCAAAGGTTAGAAGTTTGACTTTGCCCAGAGGCACCTGGAGACCTACTTCTGAAAAATCAGCCATTGGAAACCTTGTGGAACACATTCTACTCTGACAAACATGATGTTGCCATGAATTGGAATCAACTCAATGGCAACTGATACTGATAGGAGATTTTTCAAGGATTATTCTTAAGTGAAATACTTATTTTTTTATTGTTGTTGTTGTTATGTGCTGTCAAGTCAGACCTGACTCATAGTGACCCCTCCTTGGGTTTCCAAGGCAGTATCACTACAGAAGTAGATTGCCCCATCTTCCTTCCAAGGAGTGGCTGATGGGTTTGAACCATTAGCCTTCTGGTTAGCCGTCAAGTACCTTCAGCACTACACTACATTAGTGTTGAGTATTATATAATAAAACAAAACCAAACTCACTGCCGTTGAGTCAGTCTTGACTCATAGCAACCCCTCCTTGGGTTTCCAAGGTGGTATCTCTATGGAGGAGGAGTCAGCCACAGGGATCCAGGTAAGGAGAGAGAACCCAGGCCTTGCCCCAAAACGTCAAGTCGGGAAAGCAGGAGAAAGGAGAGGAAAAAGCCCAGGGACCGGGACTGAGTGAGGAGTCAGCCACAGGAATCCAGGGGAGGAGAGGGAACCCAGGCCACACCTCACAAGCGGCAAGGCAGGAAAGTGGGAGAAAGGAGAGGAAAGGCCAGGAGGAACAGGACAGAGCAAGAAGTCAGCTGCAGGTGTCCAGGTGAGGGTGGTTGGAGAGGTTTCCAACAGCTAAGGGAGACAAACTTGTCTGTTGGTTTGTCTGACTGTGGTGACGTGTTGCTGTGAGTCTTGAGGCCGTGCCACTGGTGTTTCAAACCCAGCAGGGTGCACATGGTGCACAGATATCAGCCTGGCTTGCAGACTAAGACAAACTAAGAAGAAGGAAGAGGCCATCCACTTCTCAAAGAATTGGCCAGGGAAAACCTTATGAATAGCAGAGGAACACTGTCTGATACATTACTGCGCAACTTTATGAATAGTCCAGAACCATTGTCCAATACAGAGGAAGAGGATGAATCCCTTAGGTTAGAAGGCTCTCAAAATAGGACTGGAAATACCTGCATCATCAGAGTAAAACCAGCCTTACTCATATGGATAAGGTAAAGCTTTTGAGACCTCCATTTGCTGATGTGGCATGACTCAAATTGAGGAGAAACAGCTGCAAACATCCGTTAATCATCAGAATGTGGAATGTACGAAGTATGAATCTAGGAAAACTGGAAGTTGTCAAAAATGAAATGGAACGCATAAAGATTGATATCCTAGGCATTCGTGAGCTGAAAGGGACTAGTTTTGGCCATTTTGAATCAGACGGCCATATGATCTACTATGATGGTATAGTGGTTACGTTTTTGTGTCAACTTGGCTGGGCCTGGTTGAGTGGCTGGGCAGCTGATGGTAGTTATTTCCCATGATGAGACTAGCAAATAACTCCATGGTGGGATCTACCACAAGCAGCTGAATAGCTGCCTTTGAGATGTGTTCTGCTTCCTGTATATAAGGAGAAACATTGGGAATGGTCTCTAGCCTGTGGCACGCTTGGACCCTGCATGTAGCCATGTTGTTGCTCAGCAGCTTTATGCTCTGCTGACCTTGAGACTTAAAATGGACTTAAGTTAATGGCCTGCTGTGTGGTTTGATAACATCGGGACTGTGCCTTTTTACTTGTCAACCTTGGGGCTTCTCAGCCTCAGCAGCCAGCAGCTGTCTGAGTGAAGAAATGCCTCTAGCTCCAGTGGGCTGGGAGTAGGAGGCAGAGCTGGACCCCAAGGTTGAGGGGCTTTCACCCAGACACTAGAGCCTGGCACTTTGAACTTGGACTTAAAGCCTCCAAATTGTAAAAATAAACTCCTGTTTGTTAAGGCCATCCCATTTGTGGTATATTTCTTGTCAGAGCGGCACTGGGTAACCAGAACAGAATTTGATACTGAGAGAGTGGGGTGCTGCTCTGACAGATACCTAAAATGTGGAAACAGGAGTGGAGTACGTCCATGACCTGAGACCCTGGCAGAGAGACCCCGGCACACGGCAGGAGCAGAGCAAGAGATTGGCATGAGAGATGGCAGGAGCAGAGCCCAGAGACTGGCATGAGAGATAGCAGGAGCAGAGCTGAGAGAATTGGCATGAGAAAGCAACAGCCTTACTAGCCCAGAGGAGAAAGCCGGGTGCCATCGGGTAGGCGGCTTCCTAGCAGAGTGGCTTGCCTTCAGGCATTAATTGGTAGAGAAGACCAGCATAAAATGGAGTAGCAGTTTGGCCAGCCCATGGAGCAAGAAAGCTACATGTCCTTTGGACAGAAAGATTTCCAGCAGAGTGGGTTGCCCTCAGGCATTAATTGGCAGAAGTGGAGAGACCAAGGAAATGGAAGCAGAGCTGCCTCAGCCTTAAGGGTAGGACCATGGCCTTTGGGGGTGGAATCAATACAGCCCCCTAGGTTTCAAAGAGCCGGACCTTTGCCAACTTGGTTCTGGAGTGTGGGGCTGCTTGTTCATGTGAGCCAGTGGGATGAAGCCATAGCTCATGCCCAAGAGTGAGGGGGCAGGGCTGCCACGCCCAAGGGGGAGAGGAATGGGGCCCGCCAGGACAAGGGGATGAGGTCACCAGTCAGGAACTAGGGGACTGGAACCACCCAGTGGAGGACACCTGTACAGATACCACCCATTGAAGATCTGTACAGGTGCCACGTTGACAAGGGGTGGAATTGTGGTGGTTATGTTTTGTGTCAGCTTGGCAGGGCCTGCTTGAGTGTCTGGGCAGCTGGTGGTAGTTATTCCCCATGATGAGACTGGCAGTCAGTTCCATGGTGGGATCTACCACAAGCAGCTGAGTAGCTGCCTTTGGGATGTGGTCTGCTTCTGTATATATGGAGAAGCCTTGGGAATGGTCTCTAGCCTATGACACTCTTGGACCCTGCATGTAGCTGAGTCGTTGCTCCGCAGCCTGCTATGGTCTGCCAACCTTGGAACTTACAATGGACTTACGTTAATGGCCTGCCGTGTGGTTTGGTAACATCGGGACTGTGCCTTTTTACTTGTCAACCTTGGGGCTTCTTAGCCTTAGCAGCCAGCAGCTGTCTGAGTGAAGAAATGCCTCTAGCTCCAGTGGGCCGGAAGCAGGAGGCAGAGCTGGACCCCAAGGTTGAGGGGCTTTCACCCAGCTTCTAGAGCCTGGCACTTTGAGCTTGGACTTAAAGCCTCCAACTTGTAAGAATGAACTCCTGTTTGTTTAAGGCATTCCATTTGTGGTATATTTCCTGTCAGAGTGGCACCAGGTAACCAGAACAGCCGGGAATGACAGTTTGAAGAGGTATGGCATGGCATTCATCATCACAAAGGATATTTCAAGATCTGTCCTGAAGTACAATGCTGTCAGTGATAGGATAATATCCATACACCTACAAGGAAGATCAGTTAATATGACTATTATTCAAATTTATGCACCAACCACC